CCTACTGATCTAGATGGACCAGATTTAATTCAAGTATGTATCAAAATTTTACGATCTATCCCTCTTATATTTTAAATAAATTATTTTAAATTTTGCTAGGTGCTCAATGGTTTGTATCCTCACGATATTGGGCATTATTTAGGAATGGACGTACATGACACGCCCCTTCTGTCTCATAACGTGGTTCTTCAGCCTGGTATGGTAATTACTGTAGAACCAGGTGTCTATGTTAGGAGAGACTTTCCCATTCAAAACCACATCAAAGCTAAAGAGTGAGTATTCTTTATTGTGTTATGAGCAATTGTAAAGAATTAGCATTTTATGGAAAAAAGCATTGACTATAGCCCATGGTTTTTTTCAAAAAATTGCTCCGAAAACACCCCAAATTTTTTAGTACATTTCCAGATTGATTTTCTGATGTATATTGATGTCCTTATGCTATGTAGAAAGTTTCAGCTGATTCTGACTTAATTTTTTCAACTTATGACCATTTTTAATAATCAGCCAATTTTTGAAAAATCCCTGTACTATAACCCATGGTTTTTCCCAAAAAATGGCTCCAAAATCACCCCAAATTTTTATTGTAATTTCTGATAGGTATTGATGTACTTATGCTGTGTAGCAAGTTTGAGCTGATTCTGACTTCAATTTTTCAAATTACAACCATTTTAAAAAATGAGCCAAAACCTGAAAAATACCCAAGGCTATAGCCCATGGTTTTTTCTGAAAAATGGCTCCGAAATCACCCCAAATTTTTATTACATTTTCTGATGCATATTGATGTACATATGCTGTGTAGAAAGTTTGAGCTGATTCCGACTTCAATTTTTCAAATTACAGCCATTTAAAAAAATAGCCAATATCTGAGAAAATACCCAAGGCTATAGCCCATGGTTTTTTCTAAACAATGGCTTCAAAATCATTCCAATTTTTTACATTTTCTGATACACATGAATGTCTTTATGCCTCATGTGGAATGTTAGTATTATTAATTTTATTATTTTAGGTTTCTTGGAGCTGTTGTAAGAATTGAAGATGATGTCCTCATTACTTCTGATGGACCTCAAGTACTGAACAAAGGGACACCTCAAACTGTTGAGGAAATAAGTGAACTAATTAATTAATAAATAATTAATTAATAATAATTAATTATTGTAAATTTTATCTATAACATTAACTGTCACTAATTTATTTTATTATTGCAATTTAATTTTTTGTATAATATATATATTAAATTTATTTAAAATTATTATTATTATTAATCAATTCAGTAATTATTCTTTAAGTAGTTCATAGTCTAGTTCAAGTCTTTCAATAACATTTTGTGGTAGACAGAAAATTGGATTGACTCCTTTGATTTGTCTATTGCCTAGCAACGAGAGACCAGCCAATCCAAATAAGGTATGAAAAGGATCAACCTTTACAAAGAAGAATTTTATAATAAAAATAAGTGTCATCTTTGTCTAATATTTTATTTTACCGAAATTAAATCAAATTTTAATTTCAAATTAAATTAAATTTTCAATTTTTTTACCATGTCTCCTGGTCTATCAGAGAATCCTCCTGTTTCATCATCTTGAGTTGCCATTATGAACTGAGTGAGTCTCTCCTCCAATGAGAAGGTACATTGAAGCTACACTGTACAACATTATAAAGCTAACCTTATCAATCCAGTGTATCCTACCAATGATAATAATAATAATAATAATTGTTTTTTATATTTTTGCATTTTTAAAACAAAAATTTGTTAATTTTGATATAGCTTTAATAATTATGTGTTCTCTCTCTCTCTCATTCAGTTATAGGTTTCATCAAAATAATGATTTCCTATACTTCACTGGTTTTCAGGAACCCGATGCTGTACTAATTATTGAGTCAAATAGTTCTTCACCTCTTCCTGATCATAACACTGTACTATATGTCACTGATAGAGACCCATTTAAGTGAGAGAGAGAGGGAGAGAGAAAAATATGTCAGAGATATATCAGATATTAATGTTTTCTTTGTTGTTAG